GGTGATGTTATAAGGCAATCGTGACACTGGGTCACGGTCTATAACTTTGGCAATTTTTTATATCATATAAATAAAGTTTGATTAACCAATTGCATATAATTTCCAAATGTGCTAAATGATAAATGAGGCTGTGCAACAAAAAATGTTCTGAGAATTTCTAATGCATACGACCATAATAATGCATGCATGATTTATTTGCGCTCGTCAATAATGAGGCGAGTTGGTTATCTGTCCATTTGATAGTCATTTTGTAAGATTATTTGGTGTAATACCAAGGATAAGTGATTTTGCAGAAAGAGTAGAAAACCCACACCTGTTTTTATAAAAATGCTACGTAAAGGCAAAACTAATAAAGCTTGTCCTTATATATATAACTAATACATTAACTAACTCTCATATGTATGGTTTCAGTTGTAGTCATACATTAAATCATGGTCCTAAAGAACCTTGCTTTACTTTACGAAATAAAAAATATTGTCAAACAATAAGAAAAAGAAAAAAATATAGCCCGAAGGACGTAAAAAATATATCATTGTTACATGATGCGAATAAAAATAAAAAAATAATAGGTCTGAATTCTTTGTTGATATAAAATAAATTCGATATAATACATAAATTAATTGCAGTCCCTCGTGTACAAGAAAGATTATTTAGTTATAAAATTAATTTATCGCTATCCGCAGGTGCAATTGGTAATGCATTTACAAACGACCTCAGCTGACGAACCAATAAAGCGATTAGCAGTAGCTTGAGTTACGGCTGTAGCTACAGAGGCAACGGCAAGTGAAGCGAGAGGGTGATCTTTAATGACTTCTCTAACTTTATCTGCTGTATTTTCGATTTGGCCCTTAATAGCGTTGGTGGCAGTGCCAATAGCTCTCGTTACTCTAAGGAAGAAGAGGGCATGAAGAATTAAATTAAAATAAAAGATTGTAAAAAATAAACTTTACTCATTGGAAAAAATAAACTTTACCCATTATTGGAAGATGTCATTTTGTTGGAAAATATTTGTAGTATATTAATATTAATATTGTAAAATATTTTACGAAACTTATAGGAAGGAAACCAATAATCTCGTCTTTTATACCAAAATTACATGTACAGTACCTAGACAAAAGAATCGGAATGCATGTTTTTGTTAATTACGTAAAAACATACATATCAACAACATATTAA